AATTTTCACCCCCGCGTTGTACCGGTGCCGATTGCGTTCTCGTCATGCATGAATATTATACGCGACCAAAATACAATTCTCATAGTCGATATACCATCAATACAATCCCAATCATACTGTTACGAGTTGATTGCGGATCTTTATGCAGGGCTGTGTAAACCATTATTTCCTTTTCCAATTATTTTGGTAATTTGAACGTAGCGCAATAGCATTTTTTTTTTTAATTTTGATACTCTTTTAACGTTTTGCATTCGATCTATTGATTCTTGTCAGAAATAAAATCCGTAGTCTGTTTACGAGCAATCGAAATAAATTTCCCGCACAAATTATGAGCAGCGGAATCGAAGTTTCCCTCATCGATAACAGTTATTTTACCGCTTTCTGTTTCACCGACTCAATTCTGTCATAAATGCATGAAATTTGCAGTCCAATAACAACAGCGCGCACGACAAATAGGTATCAATAGCTTGGCACAATTCATTTTGCTAATGGAAAGGTATATTCAGCCTACCAGGAGCATCGGCGGGTGCTTTCCACAAAATGTCACACAAGTTGCCCGTACAATTATGCGTATCGCGCTCTGTCGAAGTCCGGGCTCAAACCTGCGGGGAAGAGTTCGTAAACAAAGTTGAATATTTCATCAGGTGCATTTTGCAGAGAAGCATACATAAATCATCGCTATAATTATGCACAATCGTTGCTGCGTACGCTGCCGCGACTTCGAAAATTCGCAGTTCAGCCGGCGCGACGCGGTCAATCGACACGCGCTGCCGCGGTGCGACCTACTGCGGACGAAAATCGAAGAGATTGTTGTTCGATTTTTAAACAAATTGTTCGGTGACATAGTCTATCGACAAGTAAACTGTGCGGATATTAAACGTTAATTCCCGGCGATAGAGCATCGGGTTACGATTAAAGTATACCTCGCATGATCAGCTCATTTGTTCAATATACATACATTGTTATTTGTTAACGAGTGTTAAACAATGTTCGCGGATCTTTAAATACGGAGAATTTGTTCTGAAGCGTCTGTAACTTTAGTTTGGAATTACGAAATTTCGTTTCTCTCGGAACATTTTAAAGTGTTCTGTAGTTTTGATTGTTATTCACGGTTACTATATGCAGCTTTCGGCGATAAATAGCGACCTAATTTATTTACTTCTTGTCCATCTTAAGATGGACAAGAATAAGAAGAATAATAGAATAATAAGGAAATAATGAATAATGGAATAATGAAGAATAATAATGAAGAATAATGGTCAACAATAAGAAGCGAACACAAATTAACGTTAAAAACAATAGCATACCTGCCAGGCTGTAGGGCGACATTTGCACTGCAAAATAATATTATAGCGTAAATAGAATGAAGTTAGTTGTTATCTCGAGACAAAGCGACAAAGTCTGAAAACTGGAGAAGCGATATTAATTTCTTTCTAAGATCTAATAGATGTAACAGACTCTGGTATGCGACCGAAAAGGTTGAAAAATATAGTTGGATGTGGACAGTTGATCGGCGATTATAATATACACATATTAAACGTTAAACGAGGCGTGTTTTAAGTTTCCTGTATCATAAAAACGACGATATCAACGTATGGATATTCGGAAGAATATCGCGATTTCGATGAAAATTGCTTGAATTCGGCCGCACTGTGCGTTACATTATCGTTCGATCGCTGGCAAACAAAGCTAAGATGAAGACCATAATCGCATTGGCATGGATTATGATTCTCGCGGGAACTGGCTCGTCGTGCGGGAACAGATTTCTAAGCGATCCCACGAAGGATCATCGACTCAAAGAGCTTGTCCTGGAGATCGTGCGATCGCCGAACAATCGGGACGTTTTCATACTGATGCAAAACCAGCGGGCCGACGACCTCGGTACGCAAGTTGTCTCGGCTGTTTGTGAAACCGCGTCGAAATTTCTGCCAACAATGTCCGTCGACGTGACGAGAATGCCCAGATCACTCGATGGTTCGGCTACCTCGGACAGTCTTGTAATTTACGTGTACGCTTCTCGGGTTAGTTTGCGATCAGAATCCTGGGATAAGATGGCCAGCGACGCGCTGAGCGTATATCCGAGTAATCACGCGCCGAAGATTCTATTCCTGCTCGTGGAAGACGAAAGCGACCCCGGCGTCCAGAACTTTCTGGAGTATTTATGGAGCCGGAAGATTATCCGAGTGGAGATGCTGGAGATTCTGTCAGCGGGCGACGATACAACCATCGTCGCTCATCGATACAATCCGTTTTTAAATAGCTACAGGAAAGAACAGGATCCTCGGGGCAGCCTATCATGGTTCTCGGATAAAGTAGGGAATATGTACCGAAAACCTATGTGTTATCAGAGAGTGAACGAATTGAGCTCGATGTACGCTCCTCCTATGTACGCTTTCGCCTTCCATGCGGCTGTGTTAGTTAGCCTCTTAATTGAAATGAATTTCACTATTGAATCGTGCGACGAAATCTCCGAAAAAGATATGTATCCGTCCTCGTACAGTTTCATGCACGATCTAGACGACAACGCGAATTACGTCAACGCATTCTCGACCGCGCAGATGTGCCTGCTGACTCCCATATTGTCGACGAGAACGGTGATCTTGTGGAATTTCGTCGTCGTGATTTGCCTCGGCGCGGTTATCGTGATCGTGTTTCTCGTCGCGACGAGACTGCTGCGGATCGACGAACGCCTACGACGAGTCATGTATCTCGTAAATCTCCTTCTCGGCTTTTCGGTCACAAGGCTGCCGACAACGTTGACGGAGAGAGGTTTATTTCTCTGTTTGGTGACGGTCTCCGTCATGTACACCAGCATGTTCTACACCGAGTACTTCGAATTAATGTTTCTGCGTCAGGAATACAAGATCGACGATTTCGAAGGTCTCGCGCGATCGGGACTCACCGTGATGATCGACGGCATTGTGTATCCAGAATTCTTGAACGCGAGTCACATTCCGTGGACAGCGAAGAAGAACATGCTGCCTTGGACGGTGAATTACGGTGCGGGAATCGAGAACGTTGAGCTGTTCGCGAATATGTCGTACTTTTTCGAACGCGATGTCGCCAAGTTGATCCAGAGCTCGAGACGCGACACATCCGGCCAGCAACTGTTCAAATTGAACAATTTATGCCTGGAGATTCACACCGTTTTGTTCTTCTTGGGTAAGAGATCGCCGTATAAGGAGCGTATCGACGACCATGTGCTGCGTATGATAAATAGCGGATTTATGAATTACATGGAGAAGTCCGTATCGGCGCGATTCATGCTAATTGAAGGAATTTCTAAAAATAGAGTACCAGTTACCGTACACAACTTTGAGATACCGTTCCACTTTTTAATACTGTTCTGCGGCCTGTGCTTGTCGTTCCTTGTATTTTTAGGGGAGTCGTTTCTTTGCAAACTCTCTCGGCGTAAACGTTCTGTGCAATAATTTCCCGGCGCTTGGTTTAAGAAGCTATGGCAGGGTAGCGGTGCTAGAAATCACATATTTTGATTAAATCAGTGCACAATGATTCGCAGAGCGGCTTTTCGCGGCGAAAATGATGAAGATGTATGTATTGGTATTTTTCAACGCAATATAGTTAATAAACACTATTAATATATTGTATAGTATATGTATGTAGGTGTGTACAACTACGTGTAATTAGAACAACTGTAACGTAATAATAATAATAATAATAATATAATAAGTAAAAGAATAATTATTCCTAAGTTCAATGTATACAAGTTGCATTTTACTGTACTTGAAGGTTGCTAGAGATTGCACTTAGAATTTATATGTTCTTCTTACTAATTGTTCAATTTTCCATGTAAGTAGGTCCGATCATTATGACTCTTCATAGTTTTCTAGAAACCTTTCCCAAAATTTTAATTGTTAGAAATTTTACGCTGTTTGTATATTGTAGATTCCAAAATGCTCAAATACTTGAAGTTCAACAACAAATATAGTATACAAAGCAATCATTAGAACCTGTTTCGTCTTTAGAACGTGTGGCATCTCAGTCGCCTCCCATTGATCACTGTTTTTTGTCAATAACTCGTAAACGAAGCCGTGGATTGCATTTTCGCTAAGGAGAAAGTTACTTCAAGTGACCTCAGAAACCCCTCATTTCCCGCTTGTACAATAATTTTGGAACACCCTGTATGTAAGTTATTTGTTATCATTCCAACTAACAGCGAAATTAAGAAAACAGTATTTCAATAGAATAGTTCCTCGAAAAAAGTTATATCGTTTTAATAGGCGTGCGAATACATTTTTTATCCACCGCATTTAACATCATGGTACAATGTTGTAGGATTCGACACAGCCCCACTGCGTTGCATATGTATACCACAATGCTTCGAGGTCGACGAGGCCTCATCTCAGCGCACAAATAATTTACATTTGACAGAAGTCCGTGATTCTCGCTCGTGCCACGAGAGCGCAATAAAACGTTTCCCCTTTCTCCCGTTTGTTCCTGGACGATACGCCAGAAGCCCGATTGAAATACTAATTCCTGAGGTCCGTACGGTTGTTTCGAGGGTTGACAGCGGCTGTTCACTATTGGAGGGAAGATCGGGTCGCCAGATTGCAATTATGATAAACCTGAAAGCTCCTTTCGAAAGCTTTTCAATGGTATCGCAGACTTACAAAAGGGGATGACCGCGCCGGGACCCTTTTGACTCGGCCGCGTTTTAATCTATATCGTTCTCTATTTCCTGTTTCCCTTTAACCCGAGACTGCTATGCTGCATGATAAGCTTTTTAACCTGCGGCCGGCCGCGTCAAAAACGTGGTTTCGGCGCTCCAGTTGCTATACATAACGTCGCGTTCGCGGGATCGATGCGGCGTGAAAGGGTTCAAACTGACTCCGCGGTTGAGCGATTTGATGACGAGCGCCGGCGGTTATTGAAATTTTCTCGAAATTATTCTGGAACGGCGAGTGAGAGGGAGACGGAGAGAGAGAGAGAGAGAGAGAGAGAGAGAGAGAGAGAGAGAGAGAGAGAGAGAGAAAGAGAGAGACAGAGAGGTCACGGAGTTATTTCAGTTGGCCGGTCCTCTTGACCGGTCGATATTTGTCCGAGCACGACTATTGCCCAAGTATTGTTCCGGCAGAAAATCGATTAAAGTTATGTGCCCGGTACCCCTAAAGAAAGATCTTACGTGACCTACATGCGTTCCAGCGAAAGAAGGATTTCGCTGTTTGTGCGCGCGACAATACACCCTTGTCCCCGACTGAGTTTTCCTCCTTGGGAACCTCCTCGAAGTCGACTTAAGGCGGCATTGTCGTAAGCTCAAAGCCTTTTTGCCCCTTTGCTCCTTCGTCCCTCGTCGCCCCCTTGAATTCGCCGTGGCGCGGCGTTCGCGGTAAGAAAAGAGAAAGGCCGTGTCTCCAAAGCCATTCTATTTGCGTGAAATACGGTGGATGCTATGTAAATGCAGATTCGACGGACCAGTACCGTCTTCAAGTTCGACTTCCGCTCCGATTTCCCTGACGTTCCTCGTTTGCCTCGTTCGGCCAACCATTTTTGCCCGACGTCGATCTAATCTTCCAGTACCGTTCACCTTTCTGCCGATCCTTTGCCGATACACGCGCGTATTCCCAGCGTTTTCTTATCGCAAGATGTTCCACTATTCCATTAAGGCTGTACGTCGGATTTTCTCTGGAAATAACAAGCACCGCGGCATCCGTTTATCCATCTTTTTAACTCATTGCGCTCGAAGAATTTTCTCGGATTACCTAACGCGAACTCAAATATGGTTACAGTAGATTCTTCCTAATTGACGCTCGCGCGCGCGGATTATATACAAAAATAGACGATTTGGAAAGGGGAGATACAATTATTCGGGCCTTGCGGCTCGTTTTTATATAGTTACCGATCGTTTTATATTTATATTAATAAATATAAAAACGAGCAGCAAGGCTTGAATAATCGTATCTCCTCTTCCAAAATTGTCCGCTTTTGTGCACAATCTGGGCATCAGTTAGGGAGAATTTACTGTACAGGAGAACCTTGACGACTCGAAAATCGCTTCCCTCGAAATTCGACTTCCAAAGATGAACCTCGACCCTGAAATTCAAAAGATTCTGAAAATTTGAAGATGCCTGGAGCATATGTAAATACGTGTAATGCAAATTTTCTTGCTTGAAATTCAAAAATTCACTTTAACAGGTGGAAATTAACCCCTAAATATTCGGTTACTTGTTATTTCATGGCTACAATTCTCAAACTATCTTTTGTTAAAAATAATAAAAAAGTAAAAAGAAATATCGATTATTTGCATGTGCATTGTTCTAATATTAGTCGCTGTTCCTTATAAGGACAAGTCTCACAACTCATTATTTATTATCTATGTACCAATAGAGAGAGAGAGAGAGAGAGAGAGAGAGAGAGAGAGAGAGAGAGAATAGTACATATTTTTTTTCATTGCCTTGCAAACAATTCTGAACGACAAAGTTCTATTCACTGTAGCTGTAAAATAAATCATAAGACAAGTGGTTAACTCGTCCGCTACTACCTCTCGCACATGCGTGACTACCATGATTTTCTATCTTGATCAATTTTACACCTGTCCTTAATTGAAGTTGTAACATGTACCATAATTGAACTGCAGATTATTATGCAAAATGGAAATGTGCTACATGAATTATCCAACATCATAATATCCTATAATGTATTCCACAAACGTTATTATCAATAAAGTTTACTATACGTGACCTTGGAACTATATTTACATCCACATTTGATATATTCACACACACACACACACACGTACAAAATATTGTATTAGAAGTATACAGATCTCCCTAATTTTTATTTTTAGAAACTGTAATAATTTCAAGAGATCATAAACGATCTTGTATTTACGTATATTATACAATAACATTGTTTCCCTTGAAAAATACTTACGAAAGTGAGGGCATTCAACATAAGCTTCTCCGTTTTATCGCCTTCAAAGAGGGTTGGTGTTTTATGTATAAAGTTGTGAACAAGGTATTAACAATCCTAGAGTTACGTCGCTTGTAAACTTTAATCCTCCAGCTCGTTTTGGTAGGTCAGACTTGCCCTTTAGAACCACACAGTATCCATAGAGATATAGTTCGGCCAACCTGTTTTATAGGATATACATATATATATATTTATTAACAACAATAGCGATAAGATTAACATATTTGCAGCCAATGTTGCTAGATTTGAANTAAATATATATAATAACATAATAAATAAATAAATAAATAAATATATATATATATATATATATATATATATATTTATTAACAACAATAGCAATAAGATTAACATATTTGCAGCCAATGTTGCTAGATTTGAAACAAATCTTTATAAACTGTTTTCCTCTTGTTTCGTTTTTATTCTCTATCATTGAACATAAATTACGCTTGGTGTTTTCGTTATTGTAAAAATCAGTGCTTAGCCGTTTATATAAATAAATTAACTTAAATAATGTATGTACCGTTCCGAGACAATAAGTTTTCTTATATTTTATAAGAGAATATTATATTCAATATTATATATTATATTCATTGGATCGATGAAATAGAATTTTCTACGAATGGAAAACGATTACTATATTCGCGAAACATTTCGCAAAAATTCAGTTTTAGGCAAACAGATTTGAGACCCGCGAATTCTTGATCGAGAAATCAGAGAAAAACTCGAGTGTTTCGAGACTAAATTGAAAAATACCGTAATCTCCTCGACACACGTTATTTCGTAAACGTTAAAGCCCCGTCGAAGTCCGCGCAGTTTACCTCTTATTTGTCCGTAGAAATAATATTGGAACGTGCCAGTGACCCTCTGTCAGTTTCGAGAAGTCTTATTTCAGAAAATCGAATACTTTGTACCTGCAAAAAGAGGTATGTACTTTCGCGGAATTGCAAAGTTGTTCGAAACTTTCCAGATTGAAAGCTGAAGTGTTTCAAGGAGCAAAACCGTGGACGAAGATTCGTGTAGCTGCCGCTGCCGTTGCCGCTGCCGTTGCCGCTGCCGCTGTTGCGAACAGTTTCGGAAAATCGATACTTTTTCCGCATTTACTTGCAACGATTATGAAATTACAGGAAACGTTCCGCCGAAGGAGAAGCATATCGGATGTGTCGAATACTTGAAAACGAGATCGACAGAAAGTCAATGTTGATACGAGTCGAAGGTTACGTCAGTTTTGCTTGGGATACGTACTGTTCGATGTTCAGAAGAAGTCAATCGAGAAAAGTGTAGAATCGATTTTCGATTCTGATCTTCTGCCCTTGCGGAAGTAGGGTAAACGCATTTCCCTTATTGGCAGAAATGATCCCTTTCTATTCACTACAAATTAGCCGCCGTACCGAATTTCCACGAAACCAGTTCTGCCGGATAAAAACAAACAACGCCACTTGGCTGCAGTTACGTCTCGCTTCCCCGTGGTCGAGGGAGTCTGTATGCGTGTGTGTGTGTGTGTATTATTTACGCGACCACAGGAAAGCGTGACGCACCACGGGAGTCAGATGGCGTCACAGTCGAAACAAAGCGAAACAGACGTAACGATTACAAGATGCAAGAGCGTTGATTTATCCCTGAAGCGTTGACTTCAGACTTTTTTCCATTAAATTATAACTACTGGACTACCAAACCGATGAAAATGAGCTTTCGGATGATCATGGTAGAAACGCAAGAGTATCTAAGAACAATAATTTTAGACGAAACAATTTATTTGTTCATTACTTATTTTCTAATTGTTTCAAGCAAATGCGATATTCTTTCAGGGAGGCGCTATTTAAAAAATTGAAAAATTGGTGGATATAGCCCCAAGTGTTCCCGTTGTGATCGGCTTTTCAAAAATTTGGACACTTTAAAATTAACGAAATTAAAATTATTTAAAATAAGTACTCTGCACCGGAGCGAAGTATGGCATGTCACCGCAACTCGGGCGGCCGTGGTACAGGGTAAGCATAACTTGCACACCTCAAATAACTTTTAAATTATGCATCTAATTAAAAATTGTGAAATACAAAAGTTATAGAATTTTAAGGTCAACTTCTTTCTTTTTTTTAAACGAAATGGTATTCTCATTGTAGATCAAAAGAATATTAAATATTAATTGTACAATATATGTGTGTCTATACATATTGTTAATTATATGTATATTTGTACTATGTGTAACTAGAACTACAATTGTAACATAATAATAATATAACAAATAAAAAAATCATTATGCAACTAAGTTGAATAGAACACAATTTAGACTTTATTATACACGAAATATACGCAAAATTCAAATAGTTCGTTCGCTGCAACAATATTTATTAAAACCATTTATTATATTTGTTTGATTATTATATTATATTATTATATTATTATATTTTATTATATTTGTTTGAATATTTATTAAAACCAATACGTTTATAAAAAGTAATACGATGCTACAGTGAATAAGATTTACACGGTGGAAATATATGAATTTCTTACCCAAGCGCAGAAACGCTGTTGGCGCGTTTATTTGTTAAAATCATTGTACACGCAAAGGCTGCTAGAAGTTGCAGTTACAATTTATTCAGTTGTTCGGAGAGTAAATTTCGTTCTTCCACGAGAAAATGAAAGACGATTTTTTGATGCTTTTTTCCTGGTAGCTTTGAAATCTTGTAAGTCCTGCTTTTTATTGGCAAAATACTCGATCAAGCGCTTTTTCAACAACATTATAAAACGAAATATTTTTGAAAAACGAAAATACTAAAGCTGCGACTAGACAGACGTCATTTACGGCGTTTTGCACGCCGCGTTTGCAAGCGTTTTATACGGCGCGTTTTGTACTCTCCTATTTTGATTTTTTTTTCCTTTCCTTTAATAATACCCATAGAGCAGCAATATTTACTGAACTTTTAGATCGAATCGATTCTTCCTGAACGCAGCGTGCAAAACGCGTTGGAATCCGTATTACAGAGCGGAGAATACATGGCATGCAAAAACGTGGCGTACAGGACGCTTGTAAACGCGAGCGATTTGCTGAGCGTTTTGTACGCGGCCCATAAAACGACCTTAAAAATGTTCGCGCGGTCACGGCTTTAGGAAGTTTAATATATTACGGAAAAGAATTAAGACACTTTAGAATTGTATAAATACTGTTCTCGGTTGTAATGCACTGACAAATGCGTGGGAGATGAGATAAATTAGCATGCTATAATGTAACATATGATTTTCTGCTGTGTCGGTTATTTAATTCTTCATCAGCGTTTAAAGTTAATTTTTCGGGAAAGAAAACAGCTGGTTTTTCTTCGAACTACGGCCATTTCTACAATTATTATGAACAAAATTTGTTCAATTGATTTTGTACAAACAAATTTGTTCCCGGTGCTTGCCAACTGTGACAACCAGCGACCAGTGGTTCGAGTGGTTTGAGAAACAACAGCATAACTTCGCCATTGTGAACGATCTTTACTTTTACAGAATTGAAAAACAAAGTCGAAACATACATTTATGTACATCCTCTTTGAAGGACTGAATCATTTGGTTCAGCAATTACCTATAGAAAAATCTCAAATTATATTTTTCGACGCCTTAGGGTGGTGTCCCCCTTCACGAAAGATCCATTGTACTCACACGTGACTCGGGGAGAAATCTGAAGAGTTTCCATACGTAACAACGCAGAGAATTCCTTTTGTAGTATCGGCAGACCTTCTTCTTTTCGCGAGAACCGCGGGCAGAGCCACGGAGAGAGCATTGCTACGGGCGCTGTAACGTTGCAATTAAATGCTGCAACGAGACCCCCAATCGAAGAAGCGATATCGTTAGTTCGCGACGTAAGCTGCTCGTACCATCGCGAGATCGCTGTTCTGATTCCGAACGAAAATTTTCAGGTGCCGCGGCAGCAACCGAGCAATCTCGAACGGCAGCACGAACCGTTTAATGGCAGCAAAAATGCCGCCGCTTTATGGCGGTTGTTCTGAGGAAACGGCGAGCATACGTCACAATTACAACGTCTCGGTAGATCGTTCTTATCGAGGGAACCGTTGAAATTTTTTGCTCGTACCGTCGGACCGAGATACATATTTCGGACGCGGTGTTCGACCGAGCGGAGTCTACGCTCACGTTCCTATCTCGAAAAGGGTCAATATGATAATCGAGAACGGTTCAGTTGTTCCGTGAACACCGACCGGTACATGTGCTCTAATTTGAAACCCAATCGTAATTACGCGCAGTCCTGTAATTGGATTAAACGATGGAATGTGCAGTTCGGTTATGAAAATACAGTTTTCGGCACGGTTAATGACACTTCGACGGTCACGGCAATCGTACTCGAAAATTCGTTTTTATTCAAATGTAAGGTACTCGGAACACGGTGCTCCGGCCCATTTGGATCATAGTAATAATAGCAGTGATAATAATATTTTTATTTCCAGCCTCGCAGTTAAGAAAACAGATTTCATTTACGATGACCTTTATACAGTGGTTCACGAAAGTGAGCTTTTAAAATGGAACAGCTTTTACAAAATTATACGACATTATTTGAATTTTTTCGAGATTTTAGGGAGACTAGTTTATTAGACAATGTGCAACAATTTTTTTGTTTAAATTGCAATTACTTGGAATGACATAAAAAGGCAAAAAGTTGATTTTTTTTTAACTGTATTGCGTGAGTCTATAATAACGAAAATATAGAAAATGCGTCGTGCGCAAATGTTTGTATCTAATTTGAATAGGCGTCCGAAAAAAATATCCGTTCTTGTGTATGCAAATTTCATAGATAGGATAAAATGTGCAATATTCAGTTGTTATTTCAACAATATAATATTGCGTTTTGATAGTTTTTACGTTGCTTCATTGGCATAGCAGTCTCGATAAAAAAATAACGTTACGCTTAATTTATTGTGTGTGTGTGCGTGCGTGCGCGCGCGCGCGCGCGCGCGTGTGTGTGTGTGTGTGCACAATGATATCAGAATTGTAGCTGAAAAAATTGCAAAGAAAGTCAACATTGACAGATCATTATTTCGGTGCTTTTAAACTGCGGTAGAACTCCGTTTATTATAAACCCATCTATATAATCACTGACTATGATATTTCGTTCATTTAAGTGGAATTAATTCAGGATAAAGTTCAGTTAACCTGGCGCTGCTAAAATTCAGTTTGTATGAATGGAGTCCGTAAAAACGGTATTTCACTGTAGTTACAAATTGGAGCACAGCGTGCGGATACCGCTAGGTAGATAAATAATTCAGCGACACGTATTAAATAGAACTCGCGTGACTGACCATATTCACAATTATATAATTGTCGATGTTTTATGAACAGACAGACCGCGGAATTTATGACAGAACTCTGAACAGAGGGAACGCGGAACAGTAAAAATATTGAAATAATTTAAAAGTATTGTTATATCAATTTTTAATTTCCCTTCGGCTCGTTGCAAATGCGGAAGACAATTTTTATTTTGCATAAAGATCCGCAGTCTATTCGCGACAATATACGGCTTTACCCGTCAATTTTTGAAAACATAATTTTTCAGCTTCATCCATCAATTTTTCAAAGCATAATTACATCTATTGGGTTTGCAACTAAGTAATTGCCGATTTCAGTTATAGATGTCTCTCACTCCCATTTTTATGATATCCGTAAATGTTATATTATAAAATTATTATTATTATTATGTTATTTTTTATTATCCGCGAATGTTAGCAACTGGACAAATTGAATGCAGCGGTCAAGGAAAAGCGACCAGAATTGGTCGATCGTAAAGGTGTCATTTTCCACCAGGACCTGTCTCTTATACACATCTAGATGTGTATAAGAGACAGGCCTAGCATTGTCCTGGTGGAAAATGACACCTTTACGATTGACCAATTCTGGTCGCTTTTCCTTGACCGCTGCATTCAATTTGTCCAGTTGCTAACATTCGCGGATAATAAAAAATAACATAATAATAATAATAATTTTATAATATAACATTTACGGATATCATAAAAATGGGAGTGAGAGACATCTATAACTGAAATCGGCAATTACTT